TACTGCTACTGCTACTGCTACTGCTACTGCTACTGCTACTTCTACTACTACAACGACAACAACAACAACTACTACTACTACTACTACTACTACTACTACTACCACTACTGCTACTACTGCTGCTACTGCTCCCGACGGCGACTTCTGCCGCTACTGCAATGCTGATTGGCCTAGCTACGACGATTGACGATTGTTACGACTAGGTACACCGCTGCCACTGCCACTGCACTGAAACAAGCATAGCCGCGGTATCGGATCCCGCCGTCTCGAAGCGGCTAATCGAGTCTTCGTCGTCAGGAGATCTGCCTCACCGACATGCGAGTTCTGCAAGGCAACACCTTACCTGCTAAGACGCGACAAGTCGAATCACAGCCCATCATCTCCAGGATGGCATGACGTGCACTGGGAAAGTCGGCCGCCAAGACTCACAAATACTAGCAGGCACGAGGCTATCATGCCCTTAGGGAAAGTGCTAGCATGCAGCGCTTTCAACATCTCTCGACTGCGAAACCGCATAAAGCATGCGCAAATGATGGATATACTCGCATCTCTGACGTTGATTGAACATCAGAAGTCAGACCGTGCAGCAAGCTCAGCCAACAAGCGAACTGTCGTCAGTCACTTCCACAATTCACAGTCTTCCGCCTGTGCCTGTCTCGGCCATACCGGAAATTCGGGTGCCGTGTCTAACGCCACTGGCGACGGCGGCACTCCCCTGAAGCAACATGTCTCGGATTTTCGGGAAGGTACGAGTAGGAGACCATCCGGTGCTGTGGGTGGGGTTCGAGATTCGAAACTGGTGGGGTGTTTTGGGCCGAAACTGATAGTTCCCTTCTCCTGGTCGGGTCCTGGCCTGGCCTGGGTCTGTGGTCACAGACCGACAAGTAATGCATAAAATCAAATCTTGAAGGATATGTTGTGGCATACATAGTTGATAGTTGTATAGATGATCTGCGCGATAAGATCGCAACCACCAGCACTGGACCAGCACCAGCAGCTTCAGCAGCAGCAGCAGCAGCAGCAGCAGCAGCAGTGGCGACGGCAAAAGCAGCAGCAACAGCAGCAAACGGCAGCACTGGGCGGTGATGGTTGTGGTGGTGATGGTGGTGCGGGCTGTGGCAGCCGTGGTCGTCTTCATGCAGCAGCACCACCACGCCGACTACTGCTTCTTGTTCAATACGACTGGTAATAGTGCTGGTGCTGGTCGTGGTACTAGTGCTACGGCGACAACGACGAGTGACGACGACGACTCCTACAGTACTACTTCTACTCCAGCTGCTGCTGCTGCTGCTGCTTGTGCAGCTACTGCTGCTGCCGCTGTTAGCTGCTACTGGAAACCATGGTAGCCGAAGTGATCGCCAAAAGCCCTGGCCGCATGCCGTGCTCCGTGGGCCTCTCCGTTTAATTAAGTATGCCCACCGGAAATTCTCGGTTCCTGCAAGATCGAAATATCCCAAGCATCTCCCAGCAACACCAGATAGACACGCTTGAGCTGGCCTCGGGCTGCCTTCAGAGCAGGCATTAGGCTTGGTGGCGCCCAAAAGCTTGCACCGAAACGCGGCAGCAAAATCACAGGTGGAGCTCACAAGCGGAGGATTCTTTTAAATTCATGGAAAAATGTCGGGAGCCTTTCAATGGATTTCGGGACTCCAGACTCCGACGTTTACATACTGACAGCATATACTGACGATGAACGTCTTGGGCTGGGATCCTCTCCGGCAATTTCGCATCGAGAAGAGTGCAGTAACGCCTCGACATACCCAGGAAGAAGCACATGCCTAGGCCATGCCCTAAGCCCAAGAAGCGTGTGCTCAACAGTTTCAGTGGGAAGCCGCTGCTTGAAGACTAGCATTGCAGCGTAAGACTTCCGTGGAGCGTTCTCTTAGACACATCTATCAACACTCGGATACTACTAGTAGTGCCCGCTGATTGGCATTCCAATCATGGGGTTCTTGTGGCAGCAAAACTTTATAACATTTCGCGGTTGCCTGAAGCCTGATTTGCTTCAGTGAGTGGGGGCCAAGCTGCACCGCAGACTCCTGTATTTAACGGACACGGGCAGCTCGAATCTAGAAGGTCTGAACAGCACAAGAACACAGGATTCCTTCCCCTCGGTCGCAACGTGCCTGATGGGCCTCGAACCCGGCAACGCTTTTTCCACGCTTCACTTGCCACCACCCACATCTTCCATTAACGCCTCAAACTCGTCTGCCAGTTTTGGCCTCGCATGTCGGGAACATATCCTTGTGGAAGCGTCGGGGTGACCCCGACCAGAGCAGAACCACAGAAAGCATCCACGTTCCGCAAGCAGAAACCCTGTATCTGCACAAATGTCTTGTCCCTGCAGTTGCACCGTGACACTCTCCATCAGCTGAAACCCAATGCTTGAACCCTAGCTCCAAGTTCGTGCTCGCCAACTGCCAACCTTGACATCGATTCCTGTGCAGGGAAGGGTCACAAACAAAACGCCAGGGAAGAAGTCGTGGGCTGCAAAGCTTTTTGTGCCGTGTAGACCATGGGCATGAATCACAGTGGGACAATTGTGCCAAGACCCTTGACCGAGGGCTTCGAACATGAGCATGTTGAAAACGCATGGTTCTGGAAATCAGGTGTTGGGGGAGAGGAATGATGTTAGCGGATTTGAAGCGCAACTTCCGAGAACCAGGAGGAGGACGACGACTGAAACACTACCACTACACTACGACTGCAACCACTACTACTACTACTACTACTACTACTACTACTACTGCCGCTGCCACTGCCACTACCACCACCACTACCACCACCACGACCACCACAACAACAACAACTACTACTACAACTACTACTACTATACTACTACTACGAAGACTACTACTACTACTACTACTACTCCTACTACTACTACTACTACTACTACTAGTATTACTACTACTACCATCATTACTACT